CCGCCTCCCCCCCCCACCCCTCCCAAACCAGCACACATACGTACACTATTGCAATCATGCATTTGGCAATGTGAAGAACGAAGCACAGCGAACAGCTGCTACAAACAGAATATTGAAGATGAAGGCCGTAAGCCACTCAGAAAATGAAAACAGTACTACAAGAGAAAAATCACTTGCGTCTGTGATGTGGCTGTTAGTTTTCACGCAAGAGACCCGAGTTCGATTCCCAAGTGGGGAAAACATCTTTATCGAGCATCTGTGTCTTTCTTCTAGGATGTTGTTTCCCTCTCAGCCCTGGTTGGGCCAAACAAGCAGGGTTGGAAGTCCCGAATCCTATGATCTACATTGTGTTGACAGGGGCGTAAAGTCACCTACTTAAGAAAATCCTACATGTGAAAGAAAAAAAAACCCCAAACAAAAACAAAACAAAATTGTTTTTTTAAAGAAATAACGAAAGACCGAAGCCTATAGAGAGTACAACAAAAATACATGTACCTTCAAAAGTAAAACAAAACAGGTGATCATTATAAGCTGATCCTTAATGACGACCCTTGCGAGCAATTCTCTATTGTTTTTACCTGTGGTGCTTCTCCACGGTTCCACGCCTCTCAATTGGTTCGTTGTTTTTATTTTTCACGAGATCAAACACTGTTGGTATCATCGATACACTCGATCTCACAACCGAAAGTGAGTTCACCTCACGTAAAAAGTCGTTGTAATCGAATAATTAGGACACGAACTTGAACATCACGCTTATAGAATCACGATGCAGGCTGTCTACGAAACCTGTAGCAGGCACATGAAGTTGTTTTGTTTCTGCTGTTTGTTTGTTTTGTTTTTCTTCCTCCCAAAAGAGTTCACAGCCGTCGATGATTTAGCATGGGTAGAGGGGGGGAGGGGGGGGGGTCTCAGTGAAAGAACAGCCACTGATCTAGATGTCCGTGGAATCTTTAAAACGTCAGAGCGTTATGTCTTAAGACAAATTAATAAAGGTAGCTTCAAAGTAAACTACTCACAATTATAGTCGCACGTACACGAACAGGAATTGAACCTCAGAACTCCCGAATCATGCAGCAGGTAGGTAATCTAGCGATGGGGGAAGGGTCTCCGTGAAGAAAGAACAGCACAGCTCCTGTTGATCTGGATGCCCGTGGAATCAATCACGCACTTGTTGTTGGGCGAATTATCAACGGATGGATGGATTGACTGACGATCACTCGGCTCTGTCGTGTGGTGGGTGGGTGCCCCTCCTGCCTGGAGGTTTGGAAAGTTTCCCTTGTGAACGACACACGAGTCTTCATGCAGATCTAGAAGTCTTATGTATTTGTTGGGCGAGGCGACCGACTGCTTTTGCTTGACTCTCCGTTTAAAAATGTTTCAATTTTTTTGTTTGTTCCCCTACAAGTTTACGACGTCACGGCTTGAGACGCCCTGAGAAGAAGGACACGCTTCGTGAAATACATACATGTGTATTTTCTATCTCCTACCCTACCCTTTCAAAAAGAAGAAAAAGAGCGTTAGAGAATGCCACATACACATATATACGCAAACACACTAAATAAAAACGCGCTCCGAAGGAAGATTTCTGTGCCCAAAGATGAACTGGATACATAAGAATCCAGCTGTACAGATAAGGGTTTTGCCACAAGGGTTTCCGTCATTGTCCTGAAAGCGACGCAATCTACCGTTCACCGCGCTTTCGTATGTCGCATATTGTTCTCCCGTCTTTTCAATTTTATGAACGCGGGCCGTTGTAAAAAAAAAAACAACACAAAAAAAACGGGACATATGAGTGCGTACGATATGTTCAGAGATTTGAAAGAAAAAAAAAAGATATGTGTGTGTGATGGGA